CATCGTTTCCAGCAATTCCGCGGTTCTCCGATTCTTCGATGTCGTAAGATATGAACTAAGCTAACGCAGCCTACATCTTTTGATCATTACCAAACTGAGAAGGTCCTGACTTTGGCATCCTATTTCTGGTGTGAAAGCCATATTCATACTAACCACAGGTTACCTAATCAACGAAAACAGAACCCAGCGAACCTCCTCAACTTCCTGGAAAGTGTGCCTAGGATGTTAAGTTAACACTCATACAAAAGACACGTAGGGATCGTGATTATGAAGTGCGAGCCAAGGTGCAGCCGTCTAAATTCAGCCGTCTGGCGTCGTCTGTCGTGGTACGCAAGCATTGTTTGTTCACTCCTTCATTTCAAAAATGTTGCCATTTAGCTGTTTTTCTGTCTCATATCGACCTTCGTTCAGGTTTTTATTTCCGCTTATGGCTTTTTTTTCTTTGACCACTTTGGCCGCCACGTTTCAATTTCAGTATTTCAATGCTTTATTTTGTTTTTATCCTGATTTCGCTCGCACTTTTCTTACCCAGGAATTTCAACTGTCGTGATCTCCCCACGCCCGACTCTCGTTTTTAGGGTATAGAATAGTTTCCAGGAAATTTTATTGGGTTTATTTTATCTATCCTCCTATCCTATCGTGTAGTTTCGCCCTCAAGCGATTCGCTCTTGTTCCAGAATTCTCACCCATTCTAGCACTATCATTTTCTTGACCTGCGCAAGTCCACTTCTCGTACTCAAACCCAATACCAGTCTTGGTGAGAGGCAGTTTATAGTTTTGATACCATTTATAAGTCCAGAACTCGCAGATTTACTTAATCCCATTGTTAACATAGGGCTCCCATTGTTTCAGTCATTTTTACTGTGAAATATTCATTGTTCAATGTATGCTTCGTAGTTTCCGCGCTAATGCAATATACTGGTGCATGTTGGTTCAGGCATATCAAAAAACCTCTGCACACAATTTTTTTGTTGTTAATTATTGGGAGAAGCTTCGGGCTAAGCATAGGGGAAGGCGCTGCTCTGCTGCTCGGTGAACTGTTCCACTCGCTCCGGCTTCTCTGAGTCCAGGCGAGAACTTCCGTCTCTCCTTGCTCACAATCGTTTCTCGTACAAAATTGTGAATACCGTAATCCGACAATCTAGTGCACTAAATGTCACAGTATACCGCACTTGCTCCATAATTTCTTTACAGAGCGGCCATCTTCACGAAGTTGTCTCTTGTCGAACTAAGATGGCAGGACTGAAACACACAACAAGTTGTGAATTCACACCGTCCAGTGATTACTCGTCCGCCTCCCGTTATCGTACCGCCCATCCAGCTGGTAGGTCTAGGTTCTAATTAATGCAGTCTTTTTAAATATTATAGTTCCTTGCGAGCATAAAACTTAGTATTCAAGTGAGAGCAGTTGCTTCTCTCAAAGTTCCTGCAGAAGTCACCTCTTTGTCCTATCGGCTTCATTAGGCAGAGTTCAGGCTTCGCGACGGCGCTTCGGCCACGCGTTCGGGCGATCGATCGCGTCGCCAGTGGTAGCGGCCGAAGCGCCGCTGCCGCGAAGTCTGGACGCTGCCTCAGAGCAATGGACATTGCCTTGAAGCAAGGACACAAGTGAGTGCTGGGGAAAGGAATTTGATTCTGTCTAAATCTGAGCTTGATTTTTGCATTATAGAACATTTCTTCGGATCAAGAATCGCTACCGGATCCATTTTTCTCCCCAAATGGAACCCTCACTTCTTCGAAAATCTTTGGAAATCCACGCTATAGCATTGTGAGTGGACACTCGTTAGAAGATGGCAGCGGTCATCACATTGCTCAAGGTTCACATGTTTTTTTTTTGTATTGGTTTTCCTACTGGTTTTCAATGTAAATAAGAGCGCAAGTTGGGTAAAGGATCAGGGAGATTCAAAGGATTGTGCAGAACTGGGATTGCCTTGGAGGTAAATCCGACTTTTGCCTAATTCTGGACAGTACGAGCTGTACGGCTGGGGACAGCCAATCACGTGGTGTGTGAACGAATTACCTTGTGCAAGAGGTATCTCGTAATGGTGGTGATACCAGTTTTGTACTAGATTCCCTTCAAATGCATTCCATTTAGCAGACTGCCCCTGAGTGAGTCCACATTTCTGAAGTGTTTATTCAAGAGTTCTTTTCAATTCTAGACAGATTCATCTACGACTATCCAGTACATCAACTGTTGTCGTGGTAATCGTGCAACTCGAGAGAATAGCAATGTGCGCGTCGGATCTCAGTGTTACCCCTACCGTCCAGACTCGAATTGTGCTCTTCTCGCGGACTGCTCGGTAATTTTCAAGTATAGACCGAATCCCTGAGATGCGGTAGGCGTGACTGCGTTTTTCATTTGAACGCGGTAAATAAAGTGGTTAGACATTTACATTGTAATCAGTTGTGATCATGTATTTGTCCCATGCAGTACAGGATAACAATTTGTAATTTGATACCTTCCAATGATCTATCCTTCAAAGAAATACGAACTGCCGCGTCAATTTGCGTCTGCAATGTGAGGATTTCTCAAACAGTCACTCTGAACAGTCAGACTGCTTTTGAGCGCTAGTGAAATATATAAAAGCATCTTATGCATGTGGATCAACGACATTCATCTTAACAAAGCTTAGAGAACTCAGAAGGCTGCGCAGCCTCGTCCCAAGAAGCGCCGAGTGGCGGACCGTCGCATTGCCGCGCAGCTCCCATTTACTAAGCGGGGCACCTCACGCCGTAGCGCTATTTCGGTTCTGCATGACTGGACCGAAGCGAGTCTAGGCTTATAGGTCTGTTGGGTCAGATCCTTTGCGAGAGGAGAAGAGGAAAGGCATGACCGTGACGTTCATTTTTGCGACCCTGGAGAATAATAGAGACTAGGGAAGATTAGAAGCATATCGATCGATAAGGCCTCCCTGCTAGAGAACCAGTGAGTGGCTCATACGTTCATCAGTTGTCATAGGGTTGGCGGGAATCTGCGACGGGAATTGTATTCCTTCGGCCAGAAGCGGCAAGGGGATCAGCACTTGTTTTGAGGAAAATGTTTTCCAAGGTTGTTGAAACTTTCTCGTTCTGTTCCTGTTTCAGGGTGTGGTGTACACATATTTCAGAGGATGGGGGTTAGCTTTAATGAGGTCTTATGTTGTGAAAATTTCACCAACGCAGGACCTACCCTGAGACTCACACCACTCGTACTGGTCCAAGTTGGGAAACGGATCGGCGTACATAATCCTGGCTGTGTGGCAGACAAGACATTAAGATCGCCGCCAACTGGCGGGCGCTGACGATATTTCTAGGACGTTACGATAGCGGTAATAGGCCAATGATACAGGGGGGGGGGCAAAAAAAAAGACATTTCGACCGAGTCACATATCAGCAAAGTTTTCGCAGCCCAGACAGAGGACGTGGATACGAGTACCAGGGCGGAAGATACCCAAGATGTTCCTCGATAAGCAGGAGCTGGCTCTCCCATCACCTTCATGTACACCAAAATATGAAGTCATCTCCAGTCGCAGCCTGACTGGAGAAGGACCTGGAATTCACGTCACCTCCAAACAGCTGCGAAACTTCTAGTGTGAAGTCACCCATGGATAGCTACCTGGAGACCAGTACTCTCGATCTGGATGATCTCCAACATCGAGCAGCTCCGACAACGTCGCCACGGTCTAGGACATCATCTTCACCACAGTCGCCAAGGCGCGGGTTGATGGTATGGACCCGGTACCTGGAATGGGAAGACCAATATTTTCTTCGTAGACCCGGACTGAAGGTGAGCGCTGGCGGTTACATCGAGCAACTCGAGAAGAATATCCTTCCTCAATTTACATACCGTACCTTCTTGGAAACTTTGTACTGCTACAGGATTGGGTGACACCACATGGAATCAAAGGGCGTTGGGAAAACTCTTGCCTACTTGGAATGGAAGGGCGTTGAGTACCTGAAGAAGCTGGAATATCTAGGCAGGTCACCTGACCTGAACCCCTCAATTACTCGGTTCGGGCGGAGTTCAATATGGTGGTCTACAGTGGCAGAAATCAACAACCTCGCTGAACTCAGGCACCACATCACGATCGCGTGGCGAGAATCTCTCTCTCCAGAAGGCTGTGGCGGAGTGTCATGATAGTATTTGATATGCTCTTTAATATGGTGGTAAAATGTCCGATAAGAATTTAATAAAGTGTAACTTATAGCGCCTCGAAAGTCAAGGAAGAAAAAGTTTTTTTTGCCTTCCCCCCTGTATAGATCCAATATTATCCATATGTCTATGGTATTGTAGTCTACATGGAATCCGATCCCTCATTCAAAAAACCATAATATAGAAAACCCCCGAGCCTCATCGCCGCGCGCGACAGGAGCGGCAATTTACGATTGTCTTGACCGTATTCCTGCCTTTTCAACGCGTTCTTCGAAAACACGCAAGTTGCGAAATCTCGAGAAACGGCAGGTCTCCTGATCGTACGTCAACTTTCCTTTCACCCTTTCAGCGTATTTCTCCTACACCCCTGAGTCGCAAGGTAGAAGCGCGGCATCATGGTGGTCCCTGTTACGATCGGGACCTGCTGATCAGTTGATCACCTCGCGATAAAGGTTAAAAATGTATGACTGGGTAAGTTAACGCGGACGTAGTTGGAGTAGCTATTGTGTTATTACAATAGGTTCGGAGCGATACTACAGAATGTTCAGAAGGTGTACGGCCTCTTGTATAAGTTTTTCATCATATCGTAGGCTTGCTTTTCTCCTTTACTCAAGTTAACCTTGATTACAGCCACATTTGTTCACATCTTCACCGCTGGGTCCCTGTGATTATACACCACCTTGTATTGCATGTTCGGTCGCTGAAGATTCACAGGTACGAAGTCATCGTTAGTACGATGAGAGTAATTTGTCTTGGGATGTCTATATGCTTCCAGATATGTCAGGCGTCTAAAATGCAATGGTACAGTGAAACAAGGGATGGGTTGAAAAGTGCAAGGTCGACTGCTGGGTGGCTATTCCACTCTGGTATGAATTCAGCGACTGTGAGCCCTGTGATGTCAACCCCATCGCTTCCACGTAAGCTGAACACTTATTACCAAATTATTCGTGATTTTTGATACGATTATGCCATTTCGGCATTTTAAGGGCGCGGTGCAGCCTCATCCGTGAACAGCTCCGTGCTGAGCAGTAACAGTTCTTCTGAAGCGGAATCTGTGAAGCCTTTCACCTGCATACCAGAGTATTGCTTCCCATCATCTGAGAGCCCCTTAGAGGGCTCTCCTGGTCTCCCTCTACCTCCAGCGGCTTATGCAGATTCTGACGAGGAGCCCTACATCTGCACTAAGCAATTTCCTTGTTCACAAAACAGTGATGGTGCTGTTAGTGGTGAGGTTTCTTTATTTCAATGATCCTACAATTATTTTGTTTGGTAATAACATTGGTGTTTCTCACAGACTTCTTCTCACAAAGTGAAGGCAACTCCTCTAATTCATCGGAGGAAGCTTCACCAAAAGCCAGAGAAGGTGCATGTTATTCGCAAGACAGTAGCGATCATGCTAGTGGTTAGTTACATACGTTCCAATATCAAAATTGCCTCATCCATTCAGGTATTGATTGTAGGCTTCTTTTCACAATACGGCAATAGTACAACTGGACGGACAACAGTAAAACTGCGAATTTGTCGGGAAAGGAAGATCCATCACAAAAGGCTGTTGTAGCATACAAGTGAGTGAGATTAGAGCGCCTTCATACTTCTCAATCGCGCGATCGGATCGCTCGATTGTGTCGCGCGATTGGATCGCTTGATTGGATCGCAGTGCCAATTTGAATTATGCCATTGCCGTGGTGTAAAGTTTGGCGGTGGTGTGTCCCCTGTCGTGGTCACACAATTCAATCGCGCGATCACGAAGTCCGAGCGTGGTCCCAGAAGGTGGCAGATTACGTATAGCTCTGTCGTTAAGATTTTGGCTTTCGATCGGACGGTCTTCGCTGGATTGCTGTCCTGAGTACCAGAAAAGATAAATGACTTTCTCTCCAGAGAAAAGAGAGTGAAGTTTTATATTAGCGTCTACTTTAATATTTAAACCATTCGGTGTGGTTAGGAAGAACACACCACCAAGCATGATTTTGGAAGCTGGTTATTTTTTGTAGCAGCCGTCTGCACCACGTTTTTAGCTCTTACACTTTCCAGACAAGACGATGATATCGGAAATCTGTCGTTGTCGAGCGAGGTTCATCCGGCTGGTGACGATGTAGTAGTTAAGCGACAGATTTGTGGCGGCAACGCTGAAAATTCACCGCCATCGGTGAGTTCATGTCTTTTCATCCTTGTTATGTGTTCTATTTTTCGCACCTGCTTCTATACCCGGATTTCTCACGTAAGAGTGCCTTCATTCTTTGCGCCTATAAGCGGTCAGAAAAGTTTAAAAGGATACCCACCGGTTCGAGCGTACATCTTTTTTTCATTCATTAATTTGTTCATTCGTAACGCTGAAACGCTGACATATGCTCACTCAGACGTAAAGTATGAACTCACTAAAACTCAGCTTTGGACCGCTTAGTTTTTCTTTGCTACTGGCTTAAAGGCATCCCCCAAGACGACTAGGATCAATACTCCTGGCAGGATAGAATTCCGCGACCCTGGGCAGGCGCTGCATAGCGGTTTCCCCGAGGAAGGTGCCCTTATAAGGGCCCTATCAAGCCACAACTTTACGTCCCAAACGCCCGCCCGCCCAAAAATGGACGACCGTTCCTGACGCTCGTATTCATTCATTTGCTAAGCAAATTATGAAGCGAAGGGATTGGTATGAAGCGGCCGTGATGCTGCATGCATATATGGGTACACATATGCAGCCGTATCTTCGGTAGCGGTGACTTTGGTGAGATGCCTACGGGAAACTCGTCCGAAATCGATTTTCAAGTCACTGAGAACGGAGGCTTTTCTTCGCAGGATTTTGACCGTTTCACTCCGTTCTTTTCGCCAATTTCCCACTAGGTACGCCCGCCTACTAGCGTTATTCTAAGTAGGGACCATCGTGCCAACTGCCTTCAATGCATTTTACCTTCTGATTTTTGCTGTTCTGTCTTGCCCTTATAACTTCCATATTATGATTTATGCTCTTCATTCCCCTCTTTCTTTGGGCCACTACTCCTCGTTTTGTCGCCATGCTAATCAATTTGTCTTACTTGCCAACGTGTAGATGTCTCAGCCCGTGGTGTTGCGGAAAAATGTTTCATGGTTAATTTTTTTTCTTTTTCTTCTTCAATTCTTTTTTCTCATGTTGCATCTCTATGGCTGCCTGTTTTGTCTTCTGGTAGAGTTGACAATTTTGAGTTGTTTTTATATTTCATGAGATGCCATAAGTTTGATTTTAGCCTGGGGTAGCCTCCAGCGTCTCAAGCTCATGTAGCCCAGTAGCGAAGCGAGGTCGTTTTGGTTCCAGTTGTGCGAGAGATGTTTCAAGTGAGTGTGAAAGTCTTCTTTAGAACTTTATTTCCTATATGAGGACTATTTGATTTCTGTAGTTGCCCTTACACTTGTAACGCTTAGTGATCGTTCTTGTTTCTAGGCCATACTTTGCGTCAGCGTTTCAAGCGTACGACAGCGTTTGAGCGTAAAACAGCCTACATCCACGTTTTGAACGTTTCGCAGGTAGTTTTGAAGTTTGCGGCGGGCAGTCGCTGAAATCGCTGGCGTACGCCCAAAACGCTAGATCGATATCTATATTTCTTGTGGCTGGAAACGCTCGAAACGCTGACGTACGCTCAAAGAGCAGATGCAAAGTCTGAACGCAGCCGTAGTGAAATAAAGTTCGTTGGGCTATAGTTTACTTGTGCTATTAGTAGGCGAGCGACCGTTTGCAAAAGAACCTCTGTTATTGAATGTGGAAAGGTATCACAATGAATTTGCAAGAGATGTGAGTTTTTCTTTTTCAACATGTGTGTTTATGCTGATTCATGTGCTAAGGTATGAATGAAAGCTGCTGATGCAACATTTCTGTAAAGAGATCTCTTCAGACTTATGCATGGTTAGTTACCGCGAGGAAAGTACGCATGCCTTAGGCACGTTATTTATGGATGCGCAGAAGAAGGAAGGCGCATCATGGGCGGATCGTCGGGATGTTGTAATGAGAGCTTTGGTAGACATGAAGAAGCGGAAACACACTCTGGTAAGTAAAAAAGCTAAGAGCGCGTTCAGACTTCGCGATCGCGCGATCCGGATCGCGCGATCGCGCTACTGTGGGTGAAATTACACCGGGAGGGGTCATGTTCGTTCATGTTCAACTCAACTCAACAAACAACAACAACAAAGTTCTGGGAAGGGAGTCGTACTGATATCACCATTTCTCACATCACGATGCTGTATCCTGCCTCCAATAGGCAGTTCCAAAAACGATATAAAAGTAAGTTCGACCTTTTTTGATGTCTTTTAGGCCGTGTTCATATTCGCAATACTGACGATTTGCAGAAACCGTCGAAAGGAAAGGTTGTGTATAGACCTGGAGGATGGCAGAACAAACAAAGCAAACACAATGTGACAAAAGTAAAGTGAATATCTGGAGGACTGGCAAAATCGGGGGAAGCATCACCCGCTGTTGAAGTTCTGCGCTTCTGCTCCCTCCCCGACGAGATAGAAATTTCATCTTTAAGACATGAATATAAAATCCTATATTTAGAAGGTAAAACAGTAGACGCTGAAAAGTGCGAAAAAACAATTGTAGGCCGGAAGATTTTTGCCTAAACTTAGAAGGGATCAAATTCCGGCTTAGAAAAAGTAAACAGTGTGCTCCGCAGAATCTACAGAAGGACTTTCTCCACTAGCTCTCTACCAAATCGTAGTAATTAAAACTGAGCGGTTTCCTCGCAATGAAATCACAAGACAATTCAATTCACTTAACCTTCCTACTCGAAGTTCACTGTTCCGAGCCCATTTTT